TAATGCACGATAATGCTCGACCACATGCCGCTGCCATAGTGTGTAATTATCTTAATGAGGTCCAAATTCGATGATTGGGTTGGCCACCATTGAGCCCGGATTTAAATCCAATAGAGTACCTACATGTGAGATCACCTAAAACGCCGCATACAACAAAGAAATCTCGTTCCAAATACGATAGAGCAGCTTCGGCTTGCTGCACAAGATAAATGGAATGTAATTTCCCAAGATTATGTCCAAAATTTACTTGCAATCATACAGAGAAGGATATTATATAAGGTAAGTAATAGTAGTTGCAATCGTGAGGTATTAGAGGGGAAAGGCGCAAAATGTCGCCTGTCAAAATGTTCAATGTATTTTAAATGTGTTTCAATGTTTCAATGTGTTTTAGGAAACTAAAAAGCATTTTTGAAAAAATTAAAGGCAGAATGAAATATTTATTAGAATAAATAAAAAGTTTTTTTTGAATGCAATATTTTCAATTAAAAATTATACTATATTTTCTCTTTTATTTTCACCCCTGTTACATAACATATTAAAATAAACATTGTAGAAGTTTTCAGTGACTTTCTGCCTTCAGTAATAATGTAATCTTTCATTGTGCGTTTAAATTTTTCAAAAATATTTATTAGTTTTCTCCGGATTCGAAAATAATGGATACATTTAAAACACATTGAAAATTTTGCCAGGCGACATTTGGCGCATTTACCCTTCATTAAATAAATGTATCTTTTACAAATGGCAAGAAACTTTTTATTTTTGAATAAAATAAAGAAGTTTAATTAAAACAAAAATACAATTTAAAAAATATATTTATTTAGTCGGTCATCTGTAACCAAAATGCCTTCGTAATTAGATTATAAGGTTGATTGCTGTATTGTATTCCTTCAGATACAAGGTAGGTTAGTCGAAAACATCTTAAACCGTCAGTTTCAGGTTGGTTTTTACTATTATATAGTATTACCTATCCTCTCTGTATTTCAGTTCTCTAATTAGGATTAAACTTGTAGTGAGCTATCGACAAATTGTAAACCTACTATAGGATAAAATAAACTAAAATAAAATTTAATAGCATAAAATAGAATAAAACAGAGTAAAATAGAATAAAATAGAATAAAATAGAATAAAATAGAATAAAATAGAATAAAATAGAATAAAATAGAATAAAATTACATAAAATAGAATAAAATTACATAAAATGGAATAAATTAGAATCAAATAAATTTTTTTTTGCGTCTTTTTTGTTCCCAAATCTGACGGTTTCAATATGTATGATTTTTAGAGGTGCAGTGGCAGTTTCGTGTCAGACGACTGGAGTATAGTAACTCATTCACCGTACTATTTATCCAAAAACTTAAAACTTTTTTATTTCTAATTAATGATCCACATTAACGATTTCTCGTTCGGGTACTTTTAAAAGTAAACAATATGTTAACCTATAAAATATTTAGCGATTTGTTTGATACAACTAGGTACATAAGTTTTAAGCAATGGGTGAATCGGAATCACAGCCAGATATCCTGGTTGATATAAATTATATGGATCTCGGATTTATTAGCAGCATTTACAGAAACCACGAACAATTATGTTACGCTAGTTATTGTGCCGCGAACGGCTTTAAAATCCTCCATTTGAGATTAAGATGCAACATTAATTTTTTGTCACCGTGTGAATTATGGAAAGAGAATGGAACATTCTTTGTAGTTGTTGAGGTACTTATCGTTGTTTCATAATTTAAATAATTTTCAACTTATAATGTTACAGTAATTACTATTTTAATTGTAATAAGCTATTTTCTTGTGGCATTTTAAATTAATTACTATTTAACTGGGAATAAGCCACAATTAAAGATAAAAATACGTTTATTGGCGTTTCAATTTCCACTTCGGAAATCGTTCTCAAAATACAAACAGTAAATTAAACAAATTTTGTTTTTTGTTACATAGTGAAAAATTCTTCTAATAATTTAATTTTATCTGAATCATTTATATTGACAATTCAGACATACATTATGCATTTTAAAGTAGACGACTTTAAAATGATATTGCCAATATTGTTGAGTTGCGCTCCTGGACGACTTTACTTATAAAATAGTTCATTCGATTACATGAAATCAACTTTAACTTGAGAATATCCGTCAGAAAAATGACGTGTTTACATATTTGATAGATCTCAAATATGTAAACACGCATGGGATAATGAACATAGGGTTCAATGGAATAATTCAAATGTAGTCCTAAAAGAAACGGATAGTAAAAAAGAGAAAAATCAAAGAAGCGGCTCTAATTATGCTAAATGAGACCAATTGTGTCGCAAATTTCTCGACAGAATGTAGTAGGATCTGGTTACCAATATTGAAAGAGGAAGTCATTAATAAGAAAATACTAGTATTAGTAAGTCAGTAACATATAGAGGATACATAATTTATGTTTTTTAAATAACGAAACATATAAAATCAGAATTTTTGTGTTACTAGGTAAACTAAATGCACGAACAAATACTTACCATGTCGGGATAGTATTATGAGGTTTTTTCCTGGTTTTTCCCTCATAATTTACTATGGAATAACTAACAAGAGAATTTTACTGTCATCATGTCATGTGTTTGTCTGTGACGAATGTGACGAATTACATGCTATGATTTGTTTCTGACGGATATTCTCAAGTTAAAGCTAATTTCATGTAATCGAATTAACTATCTTATAAGTAAAGTCATCCCAGGAGCGCAACTCAACATTATTGGCAATATCATTTTAAAGTCGTGTACTTTAAAATGCATATTGTAGGTATGTCTGAATTGTCAATATAAATGAGTCAGATAAACCTATTTTTATCTTTAATTGTGGCTTATTCCCAGTTAAATAGTAATTAATTTAGACGTAGTTTAATTTTGTGTATAAGTAGTCGCACACGGTATACTATACCGGTCATAAAAATAGTCCTCTGGGTGCATTTTGTTTAAATTTTAATAAAATAATCTATTGTTTGTAGTTTTTTTAACATTATTTATTATTATTGACATATTTTGTTTATTTAAAATGTTTATTTACTTAGCACAAAAAATAGTCCACAATTTTTGTAATAGTTTGATTTATTCTCTTTTTTACTAAACAAATTATTACAATTAATATAAAATTGAACATAGCATATCAGTCTTCAAATCAAAATAAAACAATATTTTACTAAGACTTATCATACAAAAATATAAGAAGATTTGACAAAAAACATAATAAAAATAAGCCGGAATATTGTTACAGTCATTGTAAATTTGTATATAATCAATAACCCTTCTACCCTAAGGTGTTTGGAGTAAAAGTCTCTTTTTAGGTTTTGTATACAAACTTCCTACAATTCTTCTTGTTGCTTGCCAATTTCTTCGCTTGCTCTTTGGTGACTCCTCTCTTGTCTAGGATGGCGGCAATTTCATCGTCCCAGGTCTTCATGGGTCTGTCTCTCGGTCTTTTCAAGATTCTTCTCGCTTCCCACACTTGTTTCACTGGTCTTTCTTTATCCATCCTTACCATGTGGCCGTACCATCTCAGTTGGGCTTCTTCGATTTTCTTCTCTATTGATTGGACTTTAAGGCGTTCTCTTATTTCCTCGTTCCGTATCCTGTTCATTCTGGTTACCCCTAGTACTCTTCTTAGATACTTCATTGCAATACTTTGCAGTTGATTTTTTAGTCTGGTGGTGAGCGTCCAGCTTCCACATCTAAATGTTAAGATAGATACAAAAACTGTGTTGTAGATAGCTATCTTGGCTTTTTGGGATACTTCTTTTTTCGATAGGAATGTGCTCTTAATTGCGTGGTATATCCGGGAAGCGTTTTCTATTGGATTGTTTATCTCTGCTTCTTGTGTATCCCTACTCTCTAGTTACATTCCAGGTATTTGAAGGTTTCGACTTGTTCTAAAGTATCGTTTTGATTTTCATATTTGTATGTTGGTTTGTTTTCCCACATGACATGACCTTGGTTTTACTTTCATTAATTCTCAGATTACGTTTTGCAAGTTTATCTCTCCATATTAGGAGGTTTCTCTTAAGTGCGTCCTCGTTTCGTCTAAATACGATAGGTCATCTGCAAATGCGCACTCCGCTATTTGTATCATTTTCCACGTTTCTATGTCCAACAAATATCCTCGATGTTTTTTTCTAGTTTCCTTCATTAAAACATCTAGTAAAATATTGAACAGGATGGGACCTAATACACCTCCTTGTCGTAAGCCATCATTGACTCTAAACTCATCTGATTCCATATTATCTGTTCTCACTCTGTTTCTTGTGTTCTTGTATAGGCACTGTAGTTGCTGCAGTCCTGTCTGTCACCTATTTTGAAAATGGGTAGAATAACGCCCACTTCCCAGTCTTTTGGGATCTTGCTCTCATGCTTTTTTTTGCTTTATTGCAAACTTTTCTAAGCATTTTATTTCCATTTTCTTCCATATTTTTTAGCATTTCCGCAGTTATCTTATCATAGCCAGCTGCCTTTCCTCTTTATTTCCTTTCCTCATTATTAGAGTCTTCTTGAGTCTTCGAAATATTCTCTCCACCTATTCATAATACTTTCATTCTCGCAGAGGATGTGGCCATCTTTATTTTTAATTTGTTTTGGTGTTTGTTATTATTATTATTATTAATTGTGTATTATTTGTTGGAGCATAACCCCTGCGTTCCGGTTAGTCTTTAAACAAAAAACATACACAAACACAAGTATAAAATAAAACAACTTCACATTACATTAAAAATGCACGGCATTACCCTGTTTTTTTTTTTTTGTTTTGAATGTGATAAAAGTTGAAAATATGTAAAAGGGGGTTTTAGACCTTTTTTATGGTAACATATTGTTTTTTGTAGGTGTGATCACATACATAATTTTTTCAAGTTCATTTTCTAGGTTTTTGCAGGTGGTGATTTGATAATCGATTTGCAATAGTAAGAGGCTACAACGATGTTTGTAAGTTTTTTACTGATTATATAATAATTTTTATCTTTCTGTTTTAGTTTGACACATTTTATGAAATAGGAATTTTCGCTCCGTACATAAGTAATATTAACAACATACACGATGCCATTTATTCGGGATTATGTTATGCAAAAGAATTAAATATTCCTAAATTAATAAAACCAATTGTTTTCAAAACCATACATGAAAGTTTGCACTACTTAATTATGACATATATTACGTCACATGATTTGGAAATTGATCGAGATGAAAGATTTTATATTTGTAAACTCCAGAGAGAAGCTGCACTGAAATTTTATATTAGGTAAGTATCAACAATTTCACGTATTAAAAGCAAAACATATTTTGACATTTTATTTGACGCAGAATTTTACAAAAAACCAGTTGAACTAACTAATGAGAGTATTACATCAATAGTGCAGTCATTGAAGAGAAAAATATGGTCTTACCTCCAAATTTTTTTACTGTGAACCGATTTACATGAAATTTTGGAATTAAGCTCATCTTACCCTTAACTTCAAAAATGAAAATGATCTGAACTCCGCCTATTATTTTTAAGGGGTGTGAACAACGCCTAAATGGAAAAATTGACATCGAGCCATTTTATCACTAGAAAACATGTCTAATAGTAAGTGGTGAAATTGTAAAGTATTTTCTAACACAATTACCTTATAGCAAAATCATTTTCAACCCCTTGAAAATCTTACAACCCCTGCAAACAACGCCTACATTGATAAAATCACAAAAAAATATTTTGGTGTGACATAAAAAGATGTAAGTATAGAGTAAGTAATATTTTATATTCTCTATAATAATTATCAAATTTTTAACCCCCTTTCAACCCTTGAAAACTACTCCTTGATAAAAAGTTGTTAAAAAATTTTTTTGATAAAATGAATATGTATTGAAATTGGGTGTCCAGTTAAAATATTATGTTAAACACGTGCTTATTCTTTTGTAGACGGAAATATACTGATCGCATTATAACGAATAAACGGAGCACGCACAGCTGATCACCTGGCTTTTTCGTTGGCCCCTTCACTCAAATATGTTATATATACATATAAGAACTTGGTATGTATTCATGCCTACGTTTCCAAAATATATGAGCCATATTACGTATATATATATATATATATATATATATATATATATATATTATATATATATATATATATATATATATATATATATATGTATATATATATATATATATATATATATATATATATACATTACAATAGTTTTGAGTCTCTTTTATACTGCGTACTTTCACATTGCTCAAATATTCACACTCCGAAATTTTCAGTTACTAAGTAGAAAAAAATATGAAGTTTTTGGACCATAACTCCTTCAATTCTCATGCTCACAATTTATAAAAAACATTGTAAAGGTAATTAAGAGAGCTACAACATCCTTTATTGCAATATATAGTAAAAAAACCTTTTTCTAAAACGGTGAAGAGTTAAAGAGGCTGTGATTGCGCTGCCATGCGCTATTTAAACAATCATATCTCCGTCAATTTTTGTTTGACCGAAAAACAAAAAAATCAAATTGTTTGTCAGAAAAATACCTAAATTATTTATCCCTACACTTTTACGTATCTGTCATCTTACATATCTGTCATTTGATATATTATGAAAAGAAGGTGGTTTATTTAAAAATGTTGAAATTTTTTTTAATCGTGACTTTTTTGAAAAATATGTGTCCTGAAGCAGCCAAACTGATACAATCTATCAAACTCTTCATAATAAAGTTAATTCTAAGCGCAATATGATTAATTTTAATTTTGGTGGAAATTGCACTTATGAATCCCATTGATTTAAAAGAAAAAATATTAGTTGCCCTCTTATTTGCAATACAGCTCACTTATTTTACGTACAAAAGACTTTTGATAGTGCTCATTTTAAAGATTATTTCAAGCCCTACAAAACCCTTTTTTATTAGAATACCTCAAATGCATCTGCTCGCCACTAGATGACGTTGGCCACATAGATTAAATTTCAGACAAAATAAAAAACGGCTTTGATCTTTAATATCTAGCTTAATATTGTACTTAGAATATTTTATAAAAACCAAATTGTTAATTTTTTTACCTGCTACAATTTTGTCTTTTATAAAATTTTCGATAAAACGTATATTTTTGGAGATATTTGCAAAAAACCGATGAAAAACGTGAAAAAATTGCGAATTTTCAATTACCAATAACTTGAAAAGTATTGGATTTTTCGCTTAAAAACTTTATGGATGATTTTTTGCTTAAAATTAGGCCTTCTATCGATATCCGAGGTTATTTGAAAAAAAAAATTCACCCCCGAGAAGAAGTGGCAACCACCCCAAGGAGGTTGAGGAGTTCAAATCATTTTCACTTTTGAAGCTAAGGGTAAGATGAACCTAATTCCAAAATGGTATGCAATTCGGTTCACAGTAAAAAAATTCGGAGCAATTCTTCAATGACTGCACTACAATAAGGACAAAAATTACGGAAGTAATTACGAATCTATAAATGCGTTTAAAAACTAACTTTGGTTGTATTTATTATATTTTATCTTAGACAACACACAATTCACATTTGTATGTTTGGTTGCCTAAGCAATATTAATTCAAAAAATTTGTTTCTTATCGTATTCTGTACATAATTATAAATATACAAGTGATTGTTATTAAAAAATTGCTAAAATTGTAAATTCTTTAATATTATAAACCAAATTTAAAATTATAGATAAAACACAAACGACGCAAAAAATAGAATTCATAATACAACAAATTTTAATAGCAATAGGTATATGTATATAATCCACATTGAATTATATTTTATTGAACTTATAATTTGTTAATAATTCCGTTTGTACTGCAATTGTGTATTACCATATGTAGTATAAATAGCACATTAAAGATTATCATTTATAATTCATATTGAATTGTGTGATGAAGTAAGATTTGATGCGTTTCCTGTAAACTGATGGATGTGTTTATGTTCTAATTAGATGACTTGTTACACTCAAATTTTAGTTTCCACAGAATCTTTTAGGTTAAAATAGTTTTACCTTCCTTAGTTACTTGCTGAAGGTATTGTACCATTTCAATCTTGTTATATATTTTACAGAGTTCCTAAAGAAGTCGAAATGAGGCCATTAAGAAGAGAAAATTGGTACCGCATTATTTTAAGTTGGCCCTATGATCATAAACCACCACCAGACTATATCACGACAATGATAAAGGTAAATGGTGGATACGGAATTTTTTCCAAAGTTACTGGTGATCTTTTATCGTGGGGTAAGTATCCATAAATATAGAAGATTTTGGAATATAACGATTATCTTTTATTGTGACAACTTACCAAGTTTTTTACTCACCTGTTTTACTTTTTATGCATATTTTAATGTATGTTGGTAATAATTTTATTTTTGGTTTAAAATATTTTACTTTTAGGTTTAAAAACGATGATGGGGACAATAGAATTCGTTCAAACATTACCACGAGCAAGAAGAAAAAAGTACGCAACGACTATAATCAAGATGCTAGCGGTGGAACTAGCCAAGGAAAATCAACACCCTGTGGCTACCGTAAGAATAGAAAATGCCGCAGCATATTCTTTTTTTGAACATTTAGGTTTTAGAAACGTTGGAGTTTCTCATGACATTTATCTCAAATCAAAAACTTCCACAGATAAAAAAGAAACTTCACGATCGATAACTGAATACTACTTACGAGAAAAAATGGCACCATTTTTTGGCCCAGGTCCTTCGCAATGCTGTCCAAAGGGTTCCGTAGCTAAAAAAGAATTTCCACGATTTTTAGCTGAATACTTACGATTAAAAACTACACGACTTTGTGAACCAAGTTCATCTCACTGCTGTCCTTCGAGCTCCGCAATTAAGAACGTACCTCCTCCATTTAAACGAAGTTCCCAAAGAAACAGCATATCGCACATATATAAAACGAAAAACTTTAATCTTAATCTGCTAACGGAAACTTTGGAAGGTGGAAGTAGTAAACTTGAGCCGCCACGAAATCAAGATCAACTAGGTATACTTTTGTTCCACATTTTAAATTGGTTTTTAAAAATATTTTAAACTAAATCTATAAGTATGCTAGTGATTTTTTTTAATAAAGTTCTAGATTTTATTAACAACAATATTAAAATTTTGAAATCGTAGGCTTCCACGGCCAGAGTCAGAATTATAGTTTATTCGTCTTCCGGGTTTGGACCGTGTCATTTGTGAGTGACCCAAAAGTGGGTTCATCTCGACGTTTCGCTACAATTGTATGTAGCTTCTTCAGGAGAACAAAGAAAAGGAAACAAAAGACAGGAAGATGGGTAGTTAGCAACGGTAACTCAGTTACTCAACGCAACCAGAGGCGAATACTAACTACCAAGATGGGCATTTGGTCACAGTAACTCAAAAAGCTCATAGCTCTCAAAAATCTCCGTTCTCTTTCTGAGATAATAATCCTTCCTGCAGACAAAGGTAATGCCACAGTCATCCTGAATACTCCTTCCTACATAGAGAAAGTAAACGACTTACTTAGGGATACATCCTGTTATAATACAATTACTCGAGACCCCACTCCTAGAGTCGAACGCGAAATTTCCCATGCCATTAAACAATCCGATCTTTCCGATGATGTTAAGAAGTCCATAGTTCCGAAAAACTCCATCTGCCCCAGAATTTACGGTCTTCCCAAAATCCATAAAGACAACGTACCTCTTCGTCCCATTGTGAACACGATTAACTCTCCTACCTACAAACTCGCAAAGTACTTGTCGAATCAGTTTAAGACCTATACTGGTCGTACCTCTTCTTATGTCCGAAATTCCACACATTTCATCACCTTAATCTCCTCCCTCACGGTCGATCCCCAAGACATTCTCGTCAGTTTCGATGTTTCATCCCTATTTACCAATATCCCCATACATGACTCTCTAGTTGTTCTGCGAGATCACTTGACCAATGATAACAAGTCTTTGGTTTTGGCAGATCTTGCGGAAAAATGCCTCCTTTCAACATATTTTTCTTTTAGAGGCAATTTCTACAAACAAATATCTGGAACACCAATGGGTTCTCCCCTTTCCCCTGTCATTGCTGACATTTTCATGGAAGCCTTTGAGTCTTTAGCCCTAGAATCTTACCCCTTAAAACCGAAAGTCTGGTTCCGCTACGTTGATGATACATTTATCATCTGGCCCCATGGTCAACATACCCTTTCTCCCTTCCTAGATCATCTTAACTCACAACATCCGAGTATAAAATTCACAATGGAAGTAGAAAATAATCGGTCCCTTCCCTTTCTCGATGTGTTAGTCACCTCCAAGCCCAATGGCCGTTTGGGTCACTCTGTTTATAGAAAAAAGACTCACACGAATCGTTACCTACATGCTTCATCACACCACCATCCTGTCCAAAAGAATTCTGTGATCAACTCTCTCATCCATCGGGCCATTTCGATTTCTGAACCTGACAACCTTAGAGAAGAACTTGGCCATCTGCAAAAAACCCTTGTCGCCAACGGTTACTCCAAGTCCACAATTCAAAATATTACACACCGACATCTACTTCCCCCTTTACACCCTAGGACGACAAATTCAGAATCTTCGGGTAATACTCCTGTGGCTTTTCTTCCGTATATTCGAAGTGTCACTGATAGGATTGGCAAAATTCTTCGCAAAGAAGGTATCAGGACTACTTTTCGACCACCCAAGAAAATCTCACAATATCTACCCTCTCCTAAGGACCCATTACCGCCCCTATCTTCCTGTGGTGTCTATTCTATTCCTTGTTCATGTGGACATGTGTATATTGGCGAAACTGGTCGTTCCGTCAAAACTCGGATTCAAGAGCATCAAAGATGCATTCGATCAGGCCTTTTCTCCCATTCTGCAGTTGCAGAACACTGCCAAGAAACCGGTCATTCCATATCGTTCGAAAAAACCAATATTATTTCTAAGAGCCCCTTCTTTTATTCCAGGAAAATCCGCGAATCTCTAGAGATCCGAAAAAATCCACATAATATCAATCAAGAGGAAGGATACTACTTGTCTCCCATCTGGAATCTCAGTCTAGAGCCGCCGTCCGGTCCCGCTACCACGATGCAGCCACATGATTGGCCAGCGCGCGCTTCTTGACGTTCGCGCCACGGAGTGTGCCGATACGTCCCGACACGACAGGTCACCGCGACTATAAATAGAGCGGTAGCGGAGTAATCGTCGGATTCACTCCCCGCCTCTCGACGCGTTAGTGTTCTGAGCTGTTGGACGTGAATCCCTGTCCTGGCATTTGGTTTTCACCTCTGGCTGCGTTGAGTAGTTGAGTTACTGTGACCAAATGCCCATCTTGGTAGTTAGTATTCGCCTCTGGTTGCGTTGAGTAACTGAGTTACCGTTGCTAACTACCCATCTTCCTGTCTTGTTCTTTTTCTTTGTTCTCCTGAAGAAGCTACATACAATTGTAGCGAAACGTCGAGATGAACCCACTTTTGGGTCACTCACAAATGACACGGTCCAAACCCGGAAGACGAATAAACTATAATATTAAAATTTCGTTTAACCGTTCATTAACTTAAAATTAATAAGATAATTCTGATAATTCCATTGTGGAGTAGGATATCCAAAAAACTTATTTAGAAAAAATATAGGCAATGATATTCTCCATACTTGGAAAATATGTGGAATTCTCATCATCATCAGTAGCTCGACAACCCTTCCTAGGTTCTGGCTTGTTGTAGGATTTTCCGCTATTCCGTTCTGTTCCTTGCTTTGTTTTTCCAGTCGCAAATCTTAAGTGTTTTCAGATCTTGTTCCACTTGTTCATTGTTGGGTCTTCCCTTTGACCTTAACCCTATTGGTGTTTGCCTCATTATATGTTTTGGTGTTTCAGTCTCCAACATCTGTTCAACATGGCCCATCCAGCGCAGACGTCCGAATCTTATGGATGTTATGACATCGGGTTCATTGTATGCCGTGTATAGTTCAAAATTATATCTTCTGCGCCATATGTCATTTTCTTTTACCCCTTATATATGTGTCTACGGATTTCTTCGTTCAAACGTACCTAATAGGTTCTCATTGTGTTTGACAGTGTCCATGGCTCTGATCCATATACAAGGACCAGTTTTATCAGGGTCTTGTATATTTTGCATTTGGTTTTTCCTGTGATGTTAGATCTTATATGTTAATTAGTCCATTATATGTTTTATTAGCGATATGTATTCTTCTCTTAACTTCTTATGTTATCTACGGTAACTAGTGAGCCTAGATATGTAAAAATTTTCACGCTTTTGATGTTATAGTCTACTATTGTCAGTTTCTGTAGGTTTCTTTGGCCTGTCGATTTTCTGGCCTTCATGTATTTGGTTTTTATTTCATTGGGCCACTGTTCTGTGCCACTCTTTCTATCGCATTAAATGCTTCTATCATCTCTCTTTCGCTTCTAGCTATGATATCAACATCGTGTGCAAATGCCAATATTTGTACACTTTTTGTTATTATTGTTCCTCTGGTGTTGACTTCTGATGGCAAACTGCTAGAATCAACGGAAGATAAACTGAAATAATGGGAAAACTATATTAAATTTTTTTTCACGACATACGAGAAGAACCAAGATTGGAAAATAACAACGAAGGGCCAACAATTCTGTCAAATAAAAGCCCAGGTCCAGACGGAATATACCCAGAGTCGTTAAAATTAATCGGCGAAGAAAATATCGAAATATTTGTCCTTTTATTCAATCGCATTTATGATACAGGTGAAATACCCCAAGATTGGCTGGAGTCAATATTCATCCCACTACCAAAAAAGCCAAACCCACAACACTGGAATGAGTTCCGTCTGATAAGCCTTATGAGTCATGCAGTAAAAGTCCTACTAAAAATCGTACATAATCGTATCTATAGAAAGTCCGAAACAATCATCGGAGACGATCAGTTTGGATTCAGAGCCGGCATGGGAACGAGAGAAGCCCTGTTCAGTTTACTAGTTCTCGCCCAAAAATGCTACGACCAACAAAAAGATATATTTATATGCTTTATAGACTTCGAAAAAGCATTTGATAGAGTAAGACACGACCTACTATTAGAACGTTTGCAAGAAGTCGGTTTAGATGGAAAAGACATCAAATTCTTAAAAAACTTGTACTGGAACCAAAACGCCAGAGTTAGGATCGAAGGTTCCACATCCGCAGAAGTAGAAATTAGGAGGGGAGTTACACAAGGATGTGTTCTGTCGCCTCTGCTGTTTAATCTTTACTCCGAGTTTCTATTTAAATAAGCATTGGAGGATTCCAAGGATGGAGTCAATGTGAATGGCGTAATTATCAACAGTATCAGATACGCCGATTATACAGTGTTAATTGCAGATTCCGACTTAGGTCTACAACGACTCATCGACAAGACCAACTCGACCTGTGAGCAATTTGGTATGAAAATAAACATTAAAAAAACCAAAGTGATGTCAATCCGAAAAAAAAACAAAACGTACCTCAACCTTGCACAATAAATGGGCACATTTTAGAACAGGTCAATAGATTTAAGTACCTGGGATGTTGGATCGATAGCAGCTTAAATCCTGATCTAGAAATAAGATCGAGAATAGAACAGGCCAGAAAATCTTTCGAAAAAATAAAAAAACTGCTTTGTCATTCTCGAATAAAACTCGAAATTTGACTACGTTTATCAAAATGCTACGTCTGGTCGACTCTTCTACATGCAGTTGAAACGTGGACCCTTAAAACATAAACCGTAAATAAATTGGAGGCCTTTGAAATGTGGATCTACCGGAGAATACTCAAAATTTCATGGACATCGCATACCTCAAACGAAGAAGTGCTGCATAGAATAGGCAAGGAAAGAGAACTTTTTAACACAGTAAAAGTTAGAAAAACATCATACCTAGGCCACATACTGAGAAATAATAAGTACCAATATGCCCAACTTATAGTGAAAGGAAAAATCGAGGGAAAGAGAGACCTAGGAAGGAAAAGACTATCGTGGCTCAGAAACATCCGACAATGGACAGGGCTAAATTTTGAACA